TCCATCGGGAAGAAACAATTAAATTCTTGTTGCCACTTTGGCCGTAACAAACGGACGACACGCTTTGAAAAAAAAATGGCTGCCAGGTCAGAGGTCAATGTCTAAAAATACGTATTTTAGACGTGATTTCAAAAATAAAGTATATATATTTTTTCACTTTTATTAAAGCAGATTAATTTTACATTGAAATATTTGAAATAAATAAAAGTTAAAATAATTAAAGTAGTTAATTCGTAGCTAGTAGAATGGAAAATGAATATTAATTAGCTCATAAATATTAATGAGCTCATGAATATTAATTAGCGACCGGCACTCAAATCAAGCTGGGCAGAACCCTGGATGTATATAAAGGTCCCATAATGTCCAACGTATGTACCAAGTTTGAACAAAATCCATTCATAAACGCCAAGATCCAGTTCTGGAATGCCAGAAATGCTTGATTTTTGATGATTTTTTAGCACATAAATGGCTGCCATTCGACCATTTTGAATCAGATAGTCAAACCAATTTATCTATGTCATGATGTATAATGAATATATACATATACTGCGTCCAAATGGGGAATAAAAATAAAAATTGTCTAGTATGTATGAATGATCAGATTGTGGTGCGTGATGAATACTGCAATTCAAGCATAAATTCTTGTGCACCCCCCTCCCCCCAACCATCACCACCACCACCAGAAATGTGGTCCAGATTCAGACTCAGAGACGTCTTTCATGTTACATGTGTAATAGGTAATCTTGAGCACAGCCTCTATAAATTACATGTGAGTATTTGGTTTTCAAAATGGCATAAGGGAAAACCGAATATATGCTATTTCAGCTAATATTGTGTTGCTGGAGACAAGAGTTCCTTCTAGATTAATGACAGAATGAAAGAATGATCTCAAAATGTCATGAAAAAAACATAACAGCAGGATTGCAAGAAACACAGACTTTAGTATGCAATGTGTTGCTACATTCAACCATTCATATAACAATGTATTTAATGAAACAACTACACATCATAATCATGGCTCATAGCACTTATGTGTAGAGTATGTATTTTTAACTAAGACTACCATGTTTGATGTTTTAGGATTGCATAATTTTAGGAAGGTATTATGAATAAAACATTCAAAGATAAAGTTAACTTATACACCTACCTGTGCAGTGGTATATAATCATTGGGATGTCTGAGGTTGTCACTGATTTCCATCTCAATTTCCACTTGATCCAAGTACTGTGAGATGAACACAAACATATTTAGTACTACTGATATACTTTCATGCATTCATCGGAGAAAATATATATGAAGGTGTAAATATGGTAGTGATATTATGAGTTCTAAGCTATGTTAATACTGAGTATATGCAATAGACATTTATAAACCTGTTTGTTTCAGTTTTTGCAAGTTGAATAGATATCATTATGAGAATAGATATCCTTTAATTTAAATTGTAAATTGTGCAAAATTGTGTTTGAAGTCTTTGGCATGTTAAGTATATATGTGTACTGTAATAAATACAACAGCTATGGTATACACAAGATATCTGCCTTGTCAATAGCTGAACTCCACCTAGCAATTCTGTAGTTTGATTGTGATTGAATTCTCAGCGTCTTTAAAGGTTATCATCAAGTCACTGAAAAGTAAGCGACGATTAATGATGGACTTCATTACAAAATCAATACATGTTGTGAGTATTTTCAGTTAAGATTAGTTTGAAATGCACACCAGACACATAAGTTGTTACCTATGTCATTAAGTCCTTCCCTTGAGTGTATCAAGCGTTTTTGAGAATTTTGAACATTAAAGTACCGGTACTTCCTAGGTCAATTGTGTTTAGTGTACACCAGGAATGTATCCAAACAGCAATAAATGATAGGATTTTCATAATACTGTAGAATACTTTATTTTTGCTTGAAATTTATTTTCACTGAAGGAATGATTCAGTGAAAATACAATCCAGCGAATATACCTTTTTTCCTATATTTTACATTCAACTTGTCAAAAATCAGTGAAAATAAATTCTATACAAAGCGCCAAAAATGTCTCTTCAGCGAAAATTAATTCCAGCTAAAATAAAGTATTTTACATTACACAAATAAACAGGGTTTAGTAAAAAAAAAATCAAAATATGTTCTAGCAGCTCATACATTTCAGTTTTAAAATTTTGAATACATGAGCAGAGGGATGGTTTATACATAGCTGCATTTTAGAATTCACTATCCATATCAAAATACAAATGTATGCTTTTAGTCACGATTGACTGTTTTCCATACACTTAGATCGTGAAAGGTAATGCACACATGACAGCTTTTCACAATCCCTATGCGTCATTATTGTCACCTCGATATACGCCAATGTCAATTCAACTATATAAGGAGTCCAATTATAACCAGGCATAGCGGGATACAACTGTATATAAATCAATACAGTCAACCAAAATTTCCCGCGATATATATAATCCTTTGAGTTGAAGTAAAACAACAACTTCAATTCAAAAAAACTGAATGACAATGTGAGAATCATAATGAAGATGGATGCAGCTTTTCGTTTCAATCAAGTTGTCAACAGACACATGTATTGAGTTCTCATGAAATTACCGGGAAATCTTTCTGTCTGTTATAACTAGTCCGAGACGAATTCATATTTGTCATTTAATGAGCACATGAAGGATACACACAATGCATTATGAAATATTCATATTACAATGTACCAATAGAATACGGAAAAGTAGTATAAATTGAATAATATTTTGATAGATATATTTGACATATTTTTTTTTATTCGCTGGGTATTATTTTGGCTTATTTCACTGATAGCTGAATATGTTTAAAATTAATATGAATAAAATTAAAATCCAGTGAATATTCAGAGTTAAATCATAGAATGTATTGTTTTCTGCACAAACCAGTAAATTTGCCTACACGATCAAAGCTTTATCTAGGGTATAATTTTTAAAGCAAGAAAAAAATAGAGATTGAATTTTTACTTCAATTGGAAACTCAACAAGTCATTGAAAATGACACAGTCCCCGTTAAATTTTTGAAAGTTCTCTTTGTGCTCGTCATATTAAAGCGGAGGGGTTGTTGCGAGCGTGTCCTTGAAACTTGAGTTCCAAGTGGCGTATACAACAGATTGTTTATTTACATCAAAACATGTGTAGTAGTAATATGGCCAAAAATAAAAACAGCCGTTATTCGGCCATCTTTGATCTGATTATGAAACACACTGATATGTATGATGTATGTGCCAAATACGAATGAAAATGGCACATAAATTGTGCAAATATAGTAGTAAGGCCAAAAAGTCAGATGGCTGTCAATCGGCCATCCTTGACCAGATTTTGAAACAAATTGTCATGGACATGCATCCTAACATGTATAAAGTACATGTATGTGCCAAATTTGAATGAAAACTGACAGAGCATGTCCAAGATACCGCATAAAAAAAATCAGGTACATAATATGACTCTGGACAGACGGACGGACGGACAGACGGACGGACAGACTCAGGAACTCACGAATGGTTGGGGACTAAAATTTGAATGAAAAATAATAAAGCGTGTCCAAAATACGACATTTTCAAAAAACAAGATGGCTGCCAGTCGGCCATTTTGAATCGAATCGCTAAACCACTGCATGTGCACATGTCCCACATAAAGTACTAGACACATGCAAAGAATGAACGGAATCGGTCCAAGGGATTCTGAGATATGACTCTGAACGGACGCACAGACGCATGGACGGAGACCGAATTATAAGTTTTTGGACTTCGTTCGAACGGGGACTAATAAAAATCAAAGAAAGCTTAGAAAGAACTCCTGTGTTCTGAGAGTATTGAAGACACATTAAAAACTAATTCAAAATTACTTGTACCTGAGATATTTGAGATATTGATGGAAAAACTGAAAACTAATTATGTAAATCAGGTAACTAATATGAACAGAACAGAACAAAAAAATTATGAAATATTATACTAATTAGATAATTAATATGAACAAATTTTAACCCAAAATTAATCAGGCCTGTCTATTGTTCTAGAGCATTTATGTACAAAATTTATTCAAATGTGATGATCAGTAATTGAGATATCAGTGTTAATTAATTATGTTAATTAGGTGATTAATAAGCATAAATATTTACCAGAAACTAATTGGGTCTCTGCAAAATTCTAGATTCTACTCTTTAAAAGATTCATTAAAATCCAATTTGTGGTTCTTTATATATCAGTGGAACATTCATAGAAACAATTAACTAATTATGCAAATTAGGTAATTAATATCCACAATTATTTACCCTAAAACTAATCAGGTCTCTGCATAGTCCTAGAAGATCTATGTAGCATGTCTCATTGAAATATGATGATTAGTACTTGAGATATCAGGCAAAAAGCAGAAAATTAACTAATTATGATAATAAGATGTTAATTAATGTGCACAAATATTTACCCCAAAACTAATCAGGGGTCTGCACAGTCCTTAAGTAACTATGTACCAAATATGTACTGATATTACCCTAAAAACTATCAGGTTTGTGCAGTGTGCTATGACATCTATGTACCAAGTTTTATTGAAATGTGATTATTAGTACTTGAGATATCTATGGAAAAGACGAAAATTGATTAATCATTATGCAAATTAGGTAATTAATATTGCACAGATTTTTACCCAAAACTAATCAAATCTGTGCATTAGTTTGGAGCATCTATGTGCCAAGTTTCATCAAAATCCAATGAGTGTTTTCTTAGATATCAGTGGAACAGTCATAGAACAGCTAAAAATCAGCTAATTATCATGCAAATTAGGTAATTAATATGGATGGATTTGTACCAAAACCTAATCAAATCTGCGCATTGGCCCAGAGCATCTATGCACAAAGTTTCATCAAGAAACAATGTATGGTTGTTGAGATTTCGATTGAACAGACACACGCACACAGACAGACACACTAACTGCAAAGACTTGTGCTTCGCTCACAGGAGTAAAAAAAAAACTTAATATACCAAGCCATGTATAAGCCTATATAATCTCACATCAAATGCAATTTCAGGATTTCAATTAAATTTCAGAAACAAAGTATAGTAAAAAAAAAAACCTGTAATGGATATCCCATGATTCCACAGTACAATCCCATGGATTGATAACCTCCCCTTTACTTACCAGAGTAGCCGGATGGGTTTTCAACTTAGTCCATGGTATCTATAAAAAAAAAAAAAAAAAACCTGTTTCAGATTCAAAGTGTCAGTCATCACACACAATAAGCATTCAAATTTCGAGTAAACAATACATTTAACATACATTGTATACACCACATGGATATTATTATATTATTTTGCATTTGATATAATGCAATGATGTGGAGTTTTAAATTTTAACCTCAAGTAATAATAATGGTTTTTTAATGTAAACTTTTGCCACTTTTCACGAAAATATTTTTTTTTCCATTGATTGATTTTTCGACTTTTACAAACCTCAAGTAATTTATTAAAGCGAGAGGGTCGTCACCTGCGCATGCGTGAGAATAAAAACACACGCTAAAAAAGCAAAGGCTCATGGGTAGACACTTGTTTGTAAACAATGACACGCTATGGCCATCTGACGCGTACGCAGGTGACGACTCCCCCGCTTTAACTGTTTTAAATGCCAGTCAACTTTTGCCACTTTTCACAAAAATATAATTTTTTCCATTGATTGATTTTTCTACTTTTACACAATGTCATTGACGCATTGCATTGTGGGATTTTTGTATACGAGTAACAACAAATTTGAGAGAAGGCTCTAAATTCACCAGTGAAAACCTGTGGGAGATTGTTAGTTATGTCAAATAAAAATTAACAAATGAATTATTGAAAAATACATACAAAAATAGCAAAATACCTATAGTTTTTAAATACACCCAGAGGAATTAGACATATTGAATAATGCATGTAGAACTATTAATCATTTAGTAACTGTAATGTAAACATAGAAAGTGACAGAGTAGATAAAGTGACTAAGGGGAAATCAAATTAGTTTATCAAGAGAAATAGCGATTTAAAGAAACCTAGAGAATGCAGCACACATAAAAAGCATTCAAGAAAATACACATACAGTATCTGTTCCATTTGAAGCACACTTTTTCATCAAAAAAATATTTGGGAATATTTTAAGTACACCCAACTCACACCTTGTCTTGTTTAATAACATGCGATTACGCACTAATCTAAAGCCTACATATGCTGAGAAACGAAGAGCTAGACAATACCAGTTGGCTAAATCTGCATTCTTCTCATGTTGCAGTCGTTTCCATCTATGATTTAACTCAATGTTTCAACCACAAAACCCTGTTCACACAAGTCTCATCTCAGGGTTAAAAATTGGGACCGAGACCATGCTATGACTTGAGACCAGGTTAATTTCTTCACACATGTTTTTCAACTGCATAGGTTAAAATTAAATCTTTGGTTGATCCCCATATTTTGCTTCACTTGTTAACACTACATAAGTGCACATGCTTGTAGAGAAAATACAGTAGGTCACACTGTTCATAAGATAGGTGGGGAGAAAAGAAGCGCATCTCTAATAAAAGCTTATGTGATTCAGAAATCATTATCTTTAGTAATTTTTTTTAATATACATATATTAATATATTAGTGAATACACTTCTAACAGAGCAAATATGGTAGGTCACACTGTTCATAAGATATTAGGGAAGAAAAACTAATTTCATATAGATTTTAAAAAAAACAAGTCATTGAAAATGACACAGTCCTCGTTAAATTTTTGAAAGTTCTCTTTTGCTCGTCATATTAAAGTGGAGGGGTTGTCGCGAGAGTGTCCTTGAAACTTGAGTCCCAAGTGGCGTATACAACAGATTCAAATTCAAACACATGTTGCCTGATGACCCCTCCGGTTTAAGACATAGCAAAGAAAAACATAGATCACAAGTGAAAGCATGTCCAAGTTATCCCATTATAAATAAACAAGATAGCCGCCAGTCAGCCACATTTGATCAAATTGCAAATTGAACTGACATGTTCATGTATCCATTTATGACATACTAAATATCAATATAAATGATACATGGGTGACTGAGATATAGTAATATGGCCAAAAATAAAAACAGCTGTTTTTGATCTGATTATGTATGATGTATGTGCCAAATACGAATGAAAATGGTACATTAATCTTGGAAATATAGTAGTAAGGCCAAAAATTCAGATGGTTGTCAATCAGCCATCCTTGATCCGATTTTGAAACAAATTGTCATGGACATGTATCCTAACATGTATACAGTATGTGCCAAATTTGAATAAAAACTAAAAAAGCATGTCCAAGATACCACATTAAAAAAACAAACAAGATGCCTGCCACTCGGCCATCTTTGATCTAATTGCGAAAGAAATTGTCATGGACATGTATCCTAACATGTATAATCTATGTACCAAGTTTGAATAAAAACTGACAAAGCATATCCAAAATATAACTTTTTCAAAAAACAAGATGGTTGCCAGTCGGCCATTTTGAATCGAATCACTTAACCACTGCATGTGCATCTGTCCCACATAAAGTACTAGGCACATGCAAAGAATGAACAGAATCGGTCCAAAGGATTCTGAAATATGACTCCGGACTGATGGACGCACACACAAACGGGCGGACGGATGCACGGACGGTCGGAGGACATGTATCCTAACATCTATAATCTATGTACCAAATTTGAATGAAAACTGACAAAGCATGTCCAAAATACGACATTTTTGAAAAACAAGATGGCCATCAGTCGGCCATTTTGAATCGAATCGCTAAATCACTGCATGTGCATATGTTCCACATCAAGTACTAGGCACATGCAAAGAATGAACAGAATCGTTCCAAAGGATTCTGAAATATGACTCCAGACGGACGGACGGACGGAGACCGAATTATAAGTCTCCGTTTTCGGACTTTGTCCGAACAGGGACTAATAATTACTACAGTCAGGAACCTTCATGTCAAGTTGCATCAAATTTGTTTGGTCCAATAGTTTTTTGAGATGTTTAATTCAACACAGCATTGGGTTCTCTCATTCAATGACAAACCAGTAGGTGACAAGTTCTTAGACGAGAAGGATACATGTATACATGTAAAAGTTGGGGGTAATTAGAAATAGTGACAGGTATTTTAATGAGAGAATGTCACTCACTGTGAAGAAGGATGATTAGCTATTAATAAAAGATTGCTTTTAGGAAAATATTCTCTAATGGCAATATAAAATTATATTGCTTTAATTGAATATTTCATTTAATATCGTTTTAAATAAAATATCTTACTACATGTAGTTACAACTGTAATTATAAAGATTCTTTAAATGGTATAATATTTCCTGCCATAAGAAATTAAAACAAGCAGTCTTGGCTTGCAAAGCTTCACTGTTAGCAAGGCACATTTCAATTAGAATATCATCACAAATCTGAGAGAGGTCCACATGAGGTAGCTATATGTTTTGTATCCAAGCAAACAAACTTGCGGTTTTCAACAAGAACTTGAAGAAGTAAAAAATATCACTTTTTACTAAAAATATTCAAGAAAAATAGAGAATTGAAAATATCATCATTAAATGAACAAATCTGAGGGAGGTCTGAGATACCCATACGTATACCAGTAATATCAAAACAATCAAACTTGCCATTTTCAAAGTGAATGTTTCTGCAAAGCACTCAACTATCACCTTGAAGTATTTCATTAGGACTATAAGTGTGTGACAGTGCCCTCACAGTTTAGAATCAGTTTATCAAGAGCTAATCAGATTGCTTCATCAACATGCTTGGCCAAGATATCAAAACAAATATGACTGCGCACAGTGGAAGCTGTGTTGGTTTGGACGTTGAGGCAACACAGCGATGATATCAAGAAATTATACAACTCATAGATATTCAGACCAAAGCTATACTTAGTTCCGAGTCTGATGTGTTTGTTGTTAGTCGCACTGGAAATCGTAAATTATTATGTTATTATGCTTTACCAGCGACCATCAAGTGTGGTGTATTGGTGTCACCAATGTGGAGTATTATGGATGAGCAGGTGTTATACCTCAGAGCTCCTGTCACTGCAACATATATCAGCAGAAATGCAGCCGAAGATGAAGACATCAGAAATGCCAAATTCTAAGTGTTTTTCGGCAGTCATTTGTAACAAAGCTTTCTATTTGTCCGTAAAAATTCTATCGCACAACAACGTGACATACACAGTTATGAATGGAGTTATCGCACAGAGTTGGAGAGGAAGGAATGTCTGAATAAAACAACATTGTGCAGGCAGACAATGACAAGAAGTCAAAAATATCACTTTTCACCAAAAATGACAAAAATATTCAACAAAATTAGAGAAGTAAAGATACCAACACAAAATGAACCAATCTAAGATACCAATTAAGTATCAAAGCAATCAGACTTGTGATTTTCAAGTAGAAGTCCAAAAAGTTGACAAGACGCCAACAACGAACGACATACACCAACGGACAATCAGTATTATAATTAGCTCAGCTCGACAGTTACATATAGAATTTTCCATGAAAAACATGTAAATTGTAAAGAAATTGTATAAAATATAGCATTTAAAATTTTTTGACAAGAAGCCCCTATACAAGATTTGCCCCTATGCTGTCTTTTATTAAAAATAATAAAAATACTGTTTAAATAAAAGATATAACAATACTTGGTGTTGAATCACAGCTGAATTTGCCCAATTATAAAACATTGTTATTTTCATATATATAAAACATGCATTTTTTAAAATAACATAAAAATAAAGGTGTTATATATTATGTGACCAATTTTTTTTTATTTCATTTTCTCATGATCCAAGATTTTATTACAAAGTGGTACCGGCAGTCAGTCAACAGACTAGGATTGCAGACAAGAAGTTGATAAAAATAAAGTGTGGACAACTGACAATCAGTCATATCACAATCTCTGTGTCATAATCTGTCTCAGCTGACAGCAGATCTAAAAATACAGCCAGTCTAAAATAAATCTAAAATCTGTACTGCTTAAAATAGAATATGTATACAAAATGTACTGTGCCTCAAGACACACTCAGTATTATAACACTATACTTCAATAAAACTTAGCGTCTTGCAGTGATGACATGCATCGACTTAAATGAGCATGGAGACAGTATTCCTTTTCCAGACAGTATTCCATCATTACAGCTTTATACTATTGATTTGTTCTATAGCT